GAACTCGCAAAAATGCGTGATTCCACGGCTGGTACGATACCTGCCGTATCAACGCGCAATTCAGATGTCCCCCCTCGTTACTGACATCGTTCTGGAGTCCCTGGCCCCGAGCCTAGTGGGCCTCGAGCAGTTCTCAATCACCGGGTGCCCACGCGTCAGCCACCTCGGAATCTGGGCCGTCGTCTCACAGAACAGCACCGGCCTCCGTGCCCTCGGGCTCGAAGGCCTTTCCCCCAAATTTGTGCGTGGAGTCGCTGCCGTTACCCAACATCCCCGCTCACCCACGCCGCCAGAACCTCGCGGCGCTCACCGCTCTCTGTGTCGAAAGCCCCGCGCTCGCGAGTCTCACTTCCCTCACCCTGAGCGTGCACACCGAAGCCTGGCTCACCAGCGTGTCCGCCCTCCTCGCAGGCGCGCCGCTCGAAATTTTCCAGATCTACGCGACCAGCGCGTTCGTGCAGACCACCGCAACGGAGGTGTTCTGGCGCGACCTCACCACAGCGCACGGCGCGCGCCTCACGCGCTTCTCCGTGCACCGCATGCTTGTCAGCCTCCCCACCATCGAGGACGTCTGTATGCGCTGCCCCGCACTCACCCGGCTCTTCGTCGTTGTGGATCCCACGGCGCTGGTGCGTGCTCTGCCTATTTGTACTCCAGCTAATTGATTGCTCCCTAGGGCCTGCTCGCCGGCTGCTTGTCCCGCGCGCGCCGGCTCGCCACCGTGCACGTCAACTGCCAGTACCGCGGAACGGACACCTGGCTCGCAGGCAGGGCATCCAGCATGCTCAAGGTCCCCGAGGCACTCACCATCGTGTGCCACTGCCCCGAGACTATCACGCTCTTTAGCTGCAACGCGCGCGTGTGGCAGGTCGAGCGGCAGATCCGGCGGAATGAGGACGGGGAGCTCGTCGCCGAGCGGTTCTTGGCGAAGTACGACAGCCCGGATATCCCCGAGCAATTTTTGGTGGTTAGGACTTGACCGTGTTTTGGTTGGATCGTTGTTGACAGTGCCTTGCATGTACTATCAATCACTGGGTAGTTGACCACCTTAGCGTTTTTGATGTATCTCTGAAGCCATCAGTGGAATGTTGGGCTCTGCCGAGGTTCATAATGATGGCATGCATCCTAGGAATCTGTTAAATACATTTGGCGAAATTTAGATGCTGTTTCGAGTAGCAAGCAATTTCTTTCTGGGTGGCATTCCAAAAACGGCCAATACGGGGTAGTTGACCACCGCCTTGGAGACGCCGCTGAGAACGGAATTGACACTGCCAAGTGTTTGGGTGGTCTTTGGAGGTCCCAGGCTACCATTCAGTGTACCTTACATTTGACTCCAAGACATAGGTGCGCATACAAAATTTATTCTTAAGTGCAAGCCAATAGGGGTGATAAAACCCCTTAACTAACTGACTGCCATGCAACCCACAGATGCCACAGGTGAATAAAATTTGAGTTCAGCCAGTCTAATAGGATGCAAATGAAAATCCTTGGTTCCGAGTTTTAGACCCATGCTATTGAGAGCTCCTAGAAAAAATCCGAGAGTCTGGACCCCAAAACTCGTGTGATTTGGTGTATTGGATCGTGGCGAGAGAGGAATAAAATATAGAAAATATTGATAAACCCTAAAATATGAATCATAGAGCATCAATATGAACCATACCAAGTTTCAGACCGGCAGCACTAACAGTTTTCTTGGGAATGGGTGGTCAACTTATGCCTCTTGATATTGGATTTAATTATTCTATGGGGTCCTGTAAGTGCGGATGTCAATTTCGGGGCATCAATCATAGTATATTTGAAATCCCCGAACCAGAGCTCCAGAAAGACCCCCAAAGGTCGTGGATTGACCAAGAATTGTCGAGAACGGAACGTCGATGCCGTTGACGGCCAAGAAAATGATGTTCTCACGCGTCGCATCGTGATCAAACGCGGCACCACTGCCGATCAACCCATCACTTCGCCTCCAAATTTGGTCCAGACCTCCGTCGCACATCCTATTCCTTCCCCCGACGTCAATCCACTGACAGTTTTTCATGTCTATCTAGCCATTGTCCGAGTGGTCAACTACCTAGTATGGTCAACTACCGGTCGGCAATAGTAGGGCCGGGCGTAGCCGGACATACGGTAGCACTGGGCTGAAGACTACCACATGCATGATGTTCTGTCCCCGAATGCGACTTGTTGAAGTTGTTATACAGCAGGGAATCGTTGAAAATGAAATCAAATGCATTTTTTGGGTGGCCAGAAAAGGAGCACCAAAGGCCGTGGCTGTTTGAAACCTCACATGCATCGAGGCCTGACTTGCCGACGACTCCGCTCCGCCGGAAAGACGCTGCTTTCCGGCGGGATTAACTGTTTCCCATCCCACATATACGACAACTCGATTGAGGTACGGGGTCGCTTTACCCAATCTATTCCGCGCCGCCGGCTCGCCACCGTGCACGTCAACTTCCAGTACCGCCCGACGAACGACTGGCTCGCGGGCGAGGCGCCCAGCGTGCTTAAGGCGCCCGAGGCGCTCGCCATCGTGCGCCGCTGCCCCGAGACTATCACGCTCTTTGGCTGCAACGCGCGCGTGTGGCAGGTCGAGCGGCAGATCGGACGGAACTATGGATGTTTGGCATGCAATGGCACGGGTTCGGGTTTCCAAAGAACATGGATTTCGGCTCTCCTTTGGAATTGTCCTGCGGGACGCAATTTTAATCCCAGTTCCCGAGGACAAGGAACGAATTGATAAATACCTACGCACCAAGAATTCTTCATGGGATAAAGAGCTTCAGTTCAATGCGAGATGGCTGTGGATACGGTGCAGACGTGTTGTCCCACCTCCTAAACAGTTATATGATGCAGTAAGCCGGGTCTAACAATTGTATGGTCCCCAAAAGGATGCAAAAACAAAGCTCCCCCTTTTCAATGCCCAAGCCGGGCATGATGCAAAAAATGTGCTCAAAGCAATTCATTTGTGACTATTATCGGACCCACCAGGAGTCCCCCTTTATTTCCAGATGGGCATTGACAAGCGGCATGGAAATCTTCCCATCCTCTGATGCAGCCGTGGCACAAACAATCCGGAGGGAGCTGTGCATCATTCACTTCATGATCGTATGCCCAAGCTTCAGGAGTGGGAATAAGACATGCAGCCTCACGTGTCACAGACTATGTCTTCATTCACAACCTTGTGGTTGGTACTCTTAATTGAAGCGGCACAATGTACAAAGGACACTACAATGTTGAGGTCTTGAATCGGCGGCAACTTCTACTAGAAAAAGCTCGGCATTGTGTTCCTAATGCTCCTATTCTCAAGGGCTGGGTCAATGGTGACCTCTATATTCAAGGCAACGAGGCAGTCGGAATCTTGCCCCTCCCAGGAAGCAGCCGAAATATTGGGGAGATACTCAGTTATTATGAGCCCACTGATTCAAAGTTCAAGCATGCATACCTGGCAAAACAGCAGGGCACAAAATATGCTGTAATCACTGTCCACTCAGTTGAGGAGAAACTTTGTTTCTCGGAGCTGATGAAAACACTCCCTGCATTCAATCGTCCCAACAACCAGCCACCAGACTGGAAACAGGGCTCCCGAGCATGGAACCAGAAAGCTGATGGTGAGACAATCTTCTATAATGTATGTAGAGCAAGCAATCTTTTGGAACCTAAGATTAAGATGATTTGTAGCTTCCAGAACATTTACGTTCTTATCATTCCAAGTGGCTTCGTGCTGCAAATGCCAAGAGTTCAATTTTTCTGAGCCTGCCCCAAGTCAAAGCTCTTGAAAGGCTACATCGGAGTGATGAGCGTGGGCTAGTGGTTCATTCTGTAGCCTCAGTCATGCTTCCAATTCCTACACCAACCTTCACAGGACTTCATGAAAGGTCATCGGATACTGCGGAGGTTCTGGAGGAGTTGATTTTAGCTCATCCTCCACAAAAATCCACTCATACAGTGTTCCGCAACTATCAATCTCCAGCGGTGACTATAAAATCCAGAGGCCCACAACCACAATTTTATAGCCGCACCCCCCCATGAACTCTGGATTGAAATCCTTCCTCCATCCCTATGGAAGGCTTTGCACAGCTCCAACCTTCCACTTCGAATTTTCCATCAGAAATTGAACTCAATGGATTACTAGCTTTTGCGAACAGCTTTGAAGAAAGTGAATGGCCTGCTCCAGAAAATTTTGCATCCTCAAGTGCCGTGACTCTACCCACCAATATATACTCACCGAGGATGGGAAACAAGCGAGGACAGACTGATCCATTTGTTGTGGATCAAAAGCCAAAACGCCGCAAAAAGACATGCCAGAAGTGTCGGGATCCAAACTGTAAAGGGGGTAGCCGGAAGGATCTCTGCAAAAGTCCTTGTGGTGACTGTGGTAGTATATTATGCGAAGGACGCGATAGCATGCAGCCAGATGCCAAATGCAACCAGGCCAATTTCTTTTAGTAAATATGTAGATTTTCTTCCGTGAATCCTGATGTATTCTTACAAGTTTAGTTCATAATATCCAGCATGTATGACCATATTTAAGCTGGGAAAATGAGCCGGGACAATACACGACCAATAAGCAAGTTGAATCTCCTGAAGGAGTGTGGTATTGAGCGAGAAAGAGTCGAAACAAGTTGACACTGATACCAGAACAACATCCGGATCAATCCCGAATCGTGTGAATCATTGCCGAATCCAGTTGAGCTCGTGTGAATATCTACCGAATCCGGTTGAGCCCTTTAAGGAGATTTTGATCCCACAAACACCGTCAGCGAGCCATAGAAGGCCACAACCACCGTGACCGAGCCATTTTGGCAGCCATAATTAAATGCCCCGATCTGGACTGCGTACTCACTATGCCTTTTGCGTTGATTTCGTGTTGGTCTGGACCTCACCGGTCTCACCTCGGAGTCACCACATCCGACTCGCGTCCGATCAGCGTGCCCACATGTGATTCAAGCTCAAAGATACAAGATACTCGGTACACTCATCCGGCAGCGCAGACAAGCTGGAAAGTCTTCGTGGAGCAAGGACAATTGTTCCCTCTATGTGCACTTCAGCCAAAAATGTGGGAAAGCTGGTGGTTCGACTCCACCCGAAGACACAAGGTGAATATCGGTTGCGATTTTTTGATGAATCCGCTACCCCTGACGAATCTACTCCGCACCAAGTTATTTACGCTTCCCACCTACATACACGACAGCCCAAACTCCTGAGATCCAATGTACGACCAGGGCATTTCAATCAAAATTCGCCGACAAGCAATCATACACTCATCCAGCAGCACACAAACGAGGAAGTCTTCGTGGAGTAAGGATGCTCGTTCCCTCTAAATCCACAACCGAGCCAGATACATATGGAAAGCTGGTGGTTCGACTCCACCCGAAGACACTAAGCAAACATTGTCGTGCTTTTTTCGAATCCGCAAGTGCAACTCTGGCTTCTGGCGATGCTTTCCCTTCTACATTTTTGAATCCATTTTAGACAAAATTCCCAGCCAAAAAGGTCAGCACACCCATCCAGCAACCAAAATAAGCTGGACGATGTACATGCGAAACCCGGTGGTTCGACTCCACCCGAAGACATTGAACGGCGGCCGCCCTTTGTCTTTTTTTACGTCTGCAACTCCAGGGTATTTCACAAATTCGAAGCGAAATCATCGCAGCTATCCAATAGCCAAAACCAGCCAGGAAGTCTTCGTGGAGCAAGGACGCTCGCTCCCTGTGTATGTGAAGCCGAGGGCCATGAACATGTACATGTGGGAAAGCCGGTGGTTCGATTCCACCCGAAGACACTGCACAAGCGGAATTACTTTTTTCTTTCCGAGTCCGCAAGTACTCTCGTGATCTGTGGCCTTGTTTCAATTTCACCTTCCCACCGAGACATGCGACAGTCACGATTCTACTGAGGTCCGAGGTACGACCAGGTCATCCCAACCAAAATTCAAGGGAAATAATCGGTGCAATAACCAGCAGCCCAAATAAGTTGGGAAGTCTTCGTGGAGCAGGGACGCTCGTTTCCTCTAAATCGAGGACCGAGCCGGATACATGGGAAAGCTGGGGGTTCGAGTCCTCCCGAAGGCATTGGCCGACCCTCTGAGCTTTATTTTTTCGAGTCCGCAACTCCATCCCAACCAAAATTCTCAGAGAAATAATCGGCACACCCATCCAGCAGTCAAAACAAGTAGGGAAGTCTTGGTGGAGCAAGGACGCTTGTTCCCTCTACACGGATTATTGGATATAGCGGATTACATATACATACTGTACTATTTAGACCAAGTGTTCACACCATGTTACGCGTTACGCCAACTGTTCACTTTCTCAGGTGTTCAGATAGCCACCCGAACTGTGATGGTCTCCAAAAGTGTTCATTTTGTTCCCAATACCTATATGGAGGGAAAGAAGGTGACGGTTACGACACAATTTATTGGCGAGTCAACTATGGCCGCTCGGAACAGCAGGGACCTCCATGGCGGAGGACGGGTGAATTTAATAGTCGCTTATGACAGAAATTGTCGGGTTCGCTGAGCAGCCGAAGGAAGCCGACGTGATTTAACTTAGCACCGATCAGGCCAAGATCTGGTATTACTAAGGCGCGCATACCGTGGTGGTGTGCACTGTCTTTTAAGCTTTTTTGCATAGGATATGCAAACAAATATCCTTGATTTGTGAAAATCTCTCTTCACCCTGCCTCATTTTAGTAGTACTTCCAATGAGCCAGAAAACTCCCTTCAAAATATCTGACTGGATTGGGGAAGGCCAGCATAAAAAGACGGTGACGACGTGCTATCAAGGCTCACTTTGGGAGGAGCATTAGATCACATTAGATTACATTGGCGGTGATTCGCCACATCTAGCGCAAAATTTTTAGTGTTTTTTAAAGTGTTTTTAAGCCTATTTAGGACTTCAAAAAATTAGGTGTTCATTTGCCCAGCGTTACAGTTATGGGTACCAAAAGTGTTCAGTTCACAGGGTCGTGTTACGCGTTACGTGAACACTTGGTCTGAATAGTACAGTATGGGAAAGCCGGTGGTTCGACTCCACCCGAAGACATTTGTCTGCTTCTTTTTTTTTCCGAATCCGCAAGTGCAACTTCGATTTGAAACTTTCCCCTTCCCACATATACGACAGCCGAACCTACCCCAACCAAAATGGCCACAAATAAATATATCCAGCAGTCAAAATAAGCCAGGAAGTCTTCGTGGAGCAAGGACGCTCGTTCCCTCTGTATACACAGATCATGACGAACATGTACGTGTGGGAAAGCTGGTGGTTCGACTCCACCCGAAGACACTACCGGCCCGAGACTTTTGTCTTTTTTGCCGAATCCGCAAATACTCCCAAGATTCGCAAATACTCGTGCACTCATCCAACCACCAAACCAAGCCAGGAAACCTTCGTGGAGCAAGGACGCTCGTTCTCTTTATGTGTGTAGCCTCCACAATCTGCATGTGGGAAAGCCGGTGGTTCGACTTCACCCGAAGACATGATGAGTCCGTCTGAATCTGTCCCGTCTTTTTACGAATCCGCAAGTACTTTCACGATCTGCATCTCTGTCCCTCTTCCCACATGTACGACAGCCGCACCTACAAATGCCATCCTAACCAAAATGCCCACAAATAATAGGTGTATATCCAGCAGCCAAAATAAGCCAGGAAGTCTTCGTGGAGCAAGGCAGCTCATTCCCTCTATATACACAGATCATGACGAATATGTACATGTGGGAAAGCTGGCGGTTCGACTTCACCCGAAGACCCTATGCCATTACGTGGCTTGTTTTACAAGTCCAAAACTCCTGACGCTCGCGATGCGCAGCCTTCTTAAATTTCGCATCTAGGTCATCCCAACCAAAGTTCCCAGAAATAATCGGCGCAGCTATCCAACAACCAAAGTAAGCTGGGAAGTTTTCGTAGAGTACGGACGCTTGTTCCCTCTATGTGTCCAATCATCCGAAATCTACATATGGGAAAGCTGGTGGTTCGACTCCACGCGAAGGCACTAAGTGTCGGTTGTATCTTTTTGCCGAATCCAAGTGCAACTCCTGGCTCTGGCAATGCATGCTTTCCTTCCCACATATATCCCTTTTACGAATCCGCAAATGCTCTGGCGATCTGCATCTATGTCCCTCTTCCCACATATACGACAGCCGCACTTACGAATGCCATCCCAACCGAAATGCCCACAAATAATAGCAATATATCCAGCAGCTAAAATAAGCCAGGAAGTCTTCGTGGAGCAAGGCAGCTCATTCCCTCTATGTGATCCTTCCTACGGTAAATATGTGGGAAAGCTGGTGGTTCGACTCCGCCCGAGGACATACAGTTGCCTGCAATGTTTTTTTCCGAATCCGCAAATTCTGATGAATCTAATCCACCCAGAGTTCCTTGCGCTGCATAAATGCATCTCGCAATTCCGATCGAAATGTTCGTAGCGCGAATCAACTCACTTCGCACTGGCTGAGTTTTGAAACGAGAAATAATCGGCACACTCATCCACCAGCGCAAATAAGCTGGAAAGTCTTCGTGGAGCAGGGACGTTCGTTCCCTTTATCTGAGCGACTGAGGAAGATACTATTAGAGACCATCTACCTGGTCACTTCAGCATTTATGCCCCAACCTTTGTCCTCTCCTTGGGCCGGTCCCACCCAAACTATGTCAGAATGGATCCATGCATCCTGCGAGGAGTTTGAGCACACCGGCACCGAAATATTCGAGGATTTGAGTCCATAGTGAATTTATTTTGACCGGCAGTCCAACATGGCCGAACAACGGGCTAGTTGGCCACCCTGCCAAGTAATGTGTTGAGCTTGAGCTCTCAAATGGCGGTCGACTACACTTGTAGGCATAGATAGAGGCTATATTGACTATTTAAAATGGTTCCGGTATAGATATGAGGAATAGAAATGGTCAGAACATCTGGTTCCGATGGACGGAAAACCCTCAAATTTGGGGCCGTGAAATGAACGAGTGTTCTACAACTCAAAAAAAGCTGAGATGGGCCAAATTAAAATCCAGGCTACTTAATGGGAAGTATTGAGATGCACCTGAATGCCTAACCCCATTCCAAGATGCTGGCAGCTCATCCAAACATCCGACTATTAACGAGACCGAAATTGAGTGATTTGAGATAATGGCCTGCACAGTGATCAGAGGTGAATGGATAAAATCTCGAAATACCTCTCAGAATGAAGGACTGGACAGTATAAAGTCCTGTGTACAGTTCCAGACTGATAGCTGGGAGGTATCGTGTACCGCGACGGTGGCCAGCATGACTGACCCAAAAAAGCAGTCGTGCTTTCCCGATTTCGTTAAGGTAGTTCAGCCCATTTTCATCCAGTAGCATTAAAGACAGAGGTCCAGCCTCAGGGGATCAGAACAAGCCCCAAAGGTCATGGATCGACGCAGAAATGATGGAGAAATGGCGATGATAAGTGAGGCGAGCGGTCCGATGGCAAGAAATTAATGTCCCTACGCTTCGGATCCCGATCGCCGATGCCGTAGCTTTCGATCAACCCATCACTTTCGGCTGAAATGTGGTCTGAACATTCGTTGGAGGTCGTACTCTGTTTGTACATTATGCCCAGTCATAATTATCAAGCCATGGCCATCTAGCTCTCAAGTGACCAACTAGGTAGGTGGCCAGGTAGGTGGTCTCTAATAGTACTGTATAATTACATTCAATTCGACCGTCACGCGTCACGCACCCGTTGGCTTGTCACGCGTCACCCCGGGGGTGGTCGAATGTAAATTTTGTCACGGGCCCTCCAAATTTGCCCGAAATCGTGTCCGCGACGCGTAAATATCAAAATTTTCGTTCCGGTGGTCGAAAGTTTAGGGCGCGTCATGCCAAATTTTGGCCCTGGTCGAATGGTCGAATTGGTAGTTTGGGTCACGCGTCACCCCCCTGTTCGAATTGAACGTAATTATACAGTATAGTCTTCACCAAGTGTGAGCTCTCAAATTATATATTCATGGGTATCATTCAATGGACAGAATATCAGCACCTGGATTGTACAAGGTGAAGTAGGTCGCCGTGGTTTGCTCCGATGAGTGGTTTAAACTCGTGCGCATGTTTAATCCGGTTCAATAGGAGATGGGAGCGCAATTAGATAGATGATTTGGGTTGGTTCTCGGTTTAATCCGGTTTAATCAAAGTTTGTCGTGTACTCAATGTATGGTAGCTGAGGGTTCACTCGGTTTAATCCATGTTTAATCGGTGTTTAACACATTTCTGTCCTACATGCACTACAGGGGGACCGTGGTTTAAACCGGGGTGCGATTAAACCGAAGTTGAATTATTAGCAGAGCCCGGGCCAGCGACAGTTCCCTGGGAATTGCTAGAGTTCCCTGGGCTTGGTTGGCTGGGTCGTTAATGCCGAGCTCAGCAGCGCAGGATGTGCTCGCGCCGGCTGAGAGATATGATAAGTGTTGCGTACGAATAGCACCGGGGCAAGGTACTTACGAAGGGAGCGGTACAGCTGTGACTGCGCCGCAGCATAATGCACGACACTTCGGGCTTGAATGAGTGGGAGAGGACAAGGCAGTGAGTCCCATCCACTTCTTTTTTGTCCTACCCGCGTCGGATGAAAATCTCCAATGAACGATTCCTTTTACCACGCGTCTCTGTAATTCAAATATATCGCGGCTGTTTCTGCCACTTTCTGGCGACATGACTTCGATGAAATTTGAATACGTGTGCAGCGACATCCTAATATGTCTTCCGTATTCGAATCGCCTTTTTAGGGAGGACTGGATACGATCAATATTGGTCAAAGGGCGAGTTACTGTCTCGTCGGCTCAGGCGGGCAGTACTGGGAAGTGCTTGTTGTCAATTTATGCCGAAAGCTTGCATCTAGCTGGTTCATTTGGGGCCCCAAATGTCGCGTCCCCGACCCTGGTCTCTGATTTTAGGGTTGTTAATTCAAGGATCGCGTAAAAAAAAATGTGGGCTGGACGGACTGACATCGAGGCCCTGGTACACTTGGGTCTTGGGACGGCGGTGATAGTTTAGCGGTCAAGAAATTGAGAAGCTTTAACAGACGTTATGAAAAGTCTTATGGGCATTGCCGATCAACGGTCGACATCACACAGATTTAACGTACCGCTTTTATCAGCTCCTGAGATCACGCACGGTTTTTCAGAGAGATGTATTGGGACTACGACCCGGAGGCGGTGAAGTAGATGGCTAGGGCCAACATTCTTTTACAGAAAGACAGCGGGGCATGTCCGGCGGGATGAACGCAAACTGCTATCCATTCCCTCTGTTACTTGTGAAATCATTTCATTCAAAATACGGCTTACCTGGCGGATAAATCTGAATTAAATCGACGTTCAAAACTGCAGTTCCAGTTCCACCTGCAGAAACATTTTCAGAAAGTGTTGAGGTGAAAAGTAAACGCCAACTTACCGAGTCGATTTCATTCATGATATGAACCCTAAGAGCGACCGCGAACTTCATTAAGACTTCGATACCCGTTGTTCTGCAAAATAAACACTCCGAGGGGATCGTCCTCAAAGCCGGAGCCAGGAGTTCAGGAGTATCCAGTGACGCACCCGGCATACTCGCGAGGGCTGTGGCTGTGGATAAGCCCGTCAAGTATGCGGCGAACCATGCCGAGATCTTGTCCCAATTACCATTCGCAAATTCCCACTTCGCAGTGTCCCACGGACACAGGGTTGCGGAGGTCTTGCACCCAAACCCAGGAATATCGTCGGTGCGTGTCGTCCATTTGAGTGACGAAGTCGCCAATTGTGCGACTTTTCCGCACTTGTAATGGTAATGGAGGAGAGTATGATATGCATTTCCAGTTATATGATCCAGCTGCGGACGACGGCTGACTCAAAATGGCGAAGTGGGAGTCGTAAGGAGGCCTTTGCTGCTTCAAGTGCCACGTCCTTCCACCTATGACAACATGCAATGGCGTAGACGGCGAGAGGGTCCTGATCGATATGTTTCCGCAGATGCTTCTTTGCGTTGGGAATGAGGAACTGCATGTCGTACTTCAAAATCACAGCCTCCAGTGTATCCCGGAATTCATCCAAGGTCTCGCCTGCGACAGGTTCAGCACCGGGATACCAGAACCGCAGAGCTCTGTCGAGGACGAGGGCTGATTCAGTGACGGTTATATTCGGTACTTCCGGTTCAGTCACTGGCTGAGGGAGGGAGAACATCTGTTTGAAGAACGGGGAAGCGAGTGATAGCACGACGCGGTAAACGCGGAAATCGATCCCGTCCGATGAGCGAAGAATGACATCAGCGCTGATGTCGTCGAATGGAGAACCCTGGACGAAGGG